AGACAACAGTTATTAGCAATAATTAGTAATGGTAAAAAAATGTTTTTTTCGTGAACAGATTTTTTTTGCATTTTAAAGATCAGAAATAAAATATTTATAAAATATTTGTTTTTACGGTTAATAATACTTCTGTATATTTGCAATGTAAACGAAAATTATCACTTTTGAGAAATATTGTTATCAATTATTGTCAACGCTTATTAAAACTGATTATACTTAGTAATTCAATCGAAAAAAAGCTGAAAAAACTTTAAATCAAATTCAATACGGTTTAGAAATAATTTTATGGCGCCAATACGATACAATTATTTTTTTGATTCTATCTTCATTTTTTTTCAGTCGAGTCGTTTTTTTGGATTTTAAAACAAAGACTAATCATTAATCATTGATGCAATGATTCAAAAACAACACACCTGTAAAACCCGTCTTTCTTAAAACTAGCATAATAGCAGAGTGGTTATTACTCAGATTATCGTTTCGAGTACCAGCGTTCAGACCAAGTTTCCATCTATTATTAAGAAAAACTCGAGTAGCATTGGCGACTTATCTGCACTTCTGTCTCTGAATGCGTGCATGGCTAAAATTCCACGCGGCTCTACGATGCAGAAAACTTAGTGAGACTTGAGTGCTAACAAAATTAACGAAAATTTTGGCATAATTTTCGACAAAATTTTAGTAAAGAAACATATAATGATTAATGATCAATGTGGAGTACTTGTCATTTCAGTTGGGTCAACTTGTATTCTTCATAGTCTTTTGAGGCAATTTTTCTTTTAAAGTCCTCACCATTACTGGTAAACTCGCTCCACTGGCTTGTCGCATAGGGCTATGCCAGGGAATCCTTTGATGAAATACAGGTGAGTCACCAACATGACCTGGATTTTTTGACAGGTTCACTCCTGCGGGGAATCGAACCTCAACATCGGCACTCCCAATTGAGCAACAATGGCTTTACTTTATGTTAAACGAAGGAAATTATGTGATTATGAGATTAAGCAGCTAATCTTCTTTATAGAGATGAGCAATTTCACGCATTTTAGGAAAGCGTTCCTATCGTTAAAAAATTTGCGACCAATTATAGGAAAAATTAAAAATTATTGGATTTATTTTTGCATGAATAATTATTTATCTGAATATTTCGAATAAGTACGATATTATTTGAATTTTGCCCCTCCTTTTTTATTAGAACCAAAACGTCTGAACACCGAACTAGCACTTCGATAATTTTCAGAATCATAACATAGTAGCCAAGCGGTAACAGGTCAGATTAACGTTTCAAGCACCAATATTTGGACCAAATCTCCAAATATTACTAAGAAAAACTCGAGGCGGCAATGGCGGCTAATCTCTACTTCTCTGTCAAAAATTTGTCTTCCAAAGGCTTCACATCGCACCAATGAAACTTGAATGCTAACCACTTAGTAAAAGATTTTAAATAAATTTCGAAAATATTTTCCTAAAAAACATTTTGCGAGCGGTAACAAAGTGCATAAAACGCTAAATAAAACACTGAACAAAAATTATAAAAGTGGATTCAATAAATATTATAACAAAACATAAATTAATTAACGTCGTTCTTCAAAATCCCCTTAAATCGGAGATCCGCCAACGTATTTCAAACTTTATTTATTACTCCGCCAACGTTCAACGATACCGAAAATTTCCAGTTTTGAGAAGGTGAGTTATCAATGCAGAATTCTCTCGGATCTCACCGTGTAACCAACCGACTTTTCCAAAGCTTGGGAAATGAGTCTGTTGAAGCTGTTGGTTATGGCTGAAATAAAAATTGGTTACCGCGAATAATTCAGAGAAAATCTCTTAAACAACCAAATAATCATTCTCCTTTATTTGCCGTATTACGCGACTTAGTCTTTTAAATTTTTTTCAGAATCCGTAGCATATACGCGGTTTTTGGAGAATACAATAAATTTTTTTTCATTTTATCGGGATCGGCAATGATGAACGAATTCAATTTTTAAATTTTAATTGTAGATATATATTAATTGAATTTTAATTTGATATTTAAGTATAAATATCAATTGCTTACATAGTTAATTATAAACATATACAAGGCGTATTTATTTTAATATTAAAAATAATAAAAATTAGAAATTAATATATTAAAAAATATTAATATTAATATATATTAACGTATTAAAATATTAGAAATTAATATATATTTAATATTAAAAATTAGAAAAGCGCCAAATTTTTATAGAAAATTTTTATTTTACATGGAAAAATTGAATAAATAAATAAGATGAAATTATATATTTTGTAGAACATAGAAAAAATCTTATAGAAATATTACTGGAGAAATACTAATGGTGCAAAAGGAAATTTAATCCTCCAAATGGGATTAAGCAGCGTTCGCATTTTAGATTATCGTAAAGGAAAGAAATCTCCAAATCGATTATAAAAAATTAATTGAAAAAAGAAAGCAAAAAAATTTTTTTTGGATTGTTTTGGAATGAAAAAATTTGTTTGGACATCGCCAATAGGATAATAGAGTTTTATCAATTGCTGCTAATCTTAGCTTAAATAAACTAAGGGAATAATAGATTGCATGGCAAATATCGAACTGTCGATATTTATTTTCGATGATTTTTAGAACCATTCGAGCTGAAAGCAAATAAATACGTCGCTTGGCAGGTGCCACCATCAGTTTTCACTGAAAAATGTTCGCAGTGTTCGCAACACTAATTTTGTTCAGTCTTTTGCAAGAAGTTCAGTCAGGAGTAGGTGTTGCTCTAACTCAATGTATACCTAACGCACCTCCTGCTCGTCCTGTACCACCTCCATCTGCTTGCAGAGACAAGGATCCAACCGTGTGCACTGCTGTTTTTGCCCCAAATGGTGCAGATGCCGCAGATAATGCAGATCCGTAATTATATTTCAATTTAACTTGCATTATATTAGATTGAGCATTTCTGATTTAAAGCTTTGATTTAATTGATCCCATTTTAGAACTAAAGATTTCTTGGTTAATGCGTATTGTCTAAACGCAACTCTTAAAGCCAATGCTGAAGAAATTTGCCCGTCGTCCTGCGCAGTATGCTGTTTGGCACCCGAATTTAAGTGCGGCAATGGTATATAGCTTATTGCAAAATTTCGAATGTAATATTAGCATCACAAGAAGAAAAATGCGTGAATTTTTAAAATTTGAAAATTTGAAGCATTTATATCATAGATTTATTTTTTCAGCACCTGGCGCTGTCTGTACACCTTTTACTACCTTTCCTGATTTGTGCACAAACGCGCAAACGGCACCAACAGCATTGGAAAAGTGCCCTGGTACGTGCGGGTTATGCAACAGACCTGGAGCACTTGGTGGTTGTCCAGATATGGTCACGAACTGTGTCCAGTTATTGCCTCTTTTGACATGCACAAATGCATACATGCAAGTGAATTGCATGCGAACATGCAATATTACGACTTGCATATGTAAATTTTTTATTCTTTCAATTTTGTTTACGTCATTAAATTTTTTTTTATTTTAAAAAGGTATTTTTAACTAGCAATTACACTTGACATTTTTATTCTATTATTTACTGGGAAATTTGTTATGATACAATATTCAAATTTAGCAACAACGGGAGCAGCGGGATCGTCGTCGTGCACGGACATTCGAGCTAACTGCGCGCAAATGTCATCTTATTGTAATGTGCCGCCATATTCGACCGTTATGAGCCAACAATGCAGAAGAACTTGCCGCTTATGCACGTAAATTAATCGCGGAACGAATGTTGAAATGAGAAATTTTTGGGATTTTTAGGTGTAATTAAGGCTTTCGTCCAAGCGCTACAACTCATTAATTTTTGCTTTTTTTTTCGCTTTTTAATCATTCTATTTTTTCTTTTTAATTTTTTCCGTTGTTTCTTTGACTTTTTTTGGTTTTATTTATATTTTTATAAAATAAAATTAATTCAATGTAATTGCAAAATCATGCAAAATTCGCTGAATTAATAATTAAAAAGCAAAAATAAGCGATGCCATTCTCGCTGCATAACAATTAATTTTAAAAAATCTGCAATTTTCGATCAGTTTTGAGTTATACGAAATTTATAAAAGTTTAATAGATCATTGATAACATTTAACAGTTTATCAGCCAGTTCATCCACAAATTACAAACAGAAACAAAAAAACTTTACTGTGAAACGAAGAAATTGAAAACAACCGATTCGATTGATTGTGGTTCATGAAGAAAGATCTTTCTTTAAAGGGTCCTCGCCATTACTGGTTAAACTCATTCTGCTGCTTTTTGCACTCCACAAATATGCGAGGGAGCTAGCGATAGGAGTGCAGATGAGTCGCCTGCACAACACTTATTTATGGACAGGTTTACTCCTGCGGGGATGCTCAGCACCGATGCTTTGAATTGAGCAACAAACCACTGAACCGTTCTGTCCCTCATGAAATATGATTATAGCGCTTGATAAATTTGCATATAAATTTTTGTAAATTGCATTGTAAATTGTAAATTGTAAATCACCCCTAAAAATAAAAACAATCTGAAATCCTGGACCGTCCTTGCGAATCAACGCTGCTATTTGCTCCCAAAGATGTTATATTTAGCGAAATTTATATGAATAGAATCCAGTAATCAGCTTTACAAATTATTTATTGAATTATTCAGAGAAGCAAATAAATTTTAGAGGAAAGCGTTTGAGAAGATCGCCTAATCGTGCGTCCTGTCGGATTTAATGCTGGCAATCTTCAGATAACGCGACAAGTAGCCATTTACAAAAAACATTGAAGCTGACAAAGAGTGCTTAAATTTGCCTATCCTCGCCGCTTTAGTTCTCTCAAGTTTTATTTCAACTGCAAAATGCCAATTACCAAAATTCATTTCACCTTTCCATCATTCTTTAATACATGTATAATTTCTTTTTAAAAGACCTTTCTCGATTTAAGGCTTTTTGCTTTCTAATCCAAACTGCACAAATTCTCCGTCCAACATTCTCGCTAGCACCTCGATCGCTTAAAGGTTTATAGGGGCACAAATGTACAAACTCACTTATTGTCTCTATTGTTGCCGATTCAAATTATTGTTTCAACGAGTTATATGGAAGTTTTTCAAAGAGTTTTCGTATTAAATGACTGTTTTATTTTTAGTTCATTTCAGATATGGCACTGAATCGAACGAGTTGGAAATGTTTAGCCCTTAGCCATTTGAATTAGCCTAACAATTAATGGTTCGTGCTTTTTATAATAAAATGACTGAATATAAGATAATTTGAAAATTTGGTGCCTTGTGACCTATAAAGCAAAATAGAAACAAAATTTCATGGTATAATAAAAAATTTTAAATTTTATGGATTAAATTTTTTGAAAACTGCAAAATCAACAAATTTTTATATTCTTTTATTGATTCATTAACCTCATTATTTTAAATTATAACTCGCTTTTGCGTATAAATCTCATTAAACCAAATAATCATTTATAATAATTAAGAAAGAGCCAAAAAATTTAAAAGCTAAAATTTTATCAGTTGCGATCGGTTCACTGGGCTTTGATTTATCAATTATGCTTTTAGTGGTGTTCTGCTGTTTAAGAAAAATTAAATGATGGATCATTCAAAAATTAGCACAAGCGAAATTTCCATACAAAGGACAAAGCCCACTGCTTAATGTAACGCGAGTCGATGTTTGCTTAGCTTTAGTCAATGTTTAGTGCGACCATTCCACCACTTGGGCAAAGAACTTACGAATAATTCACCTATTTGTAGATAGACAAAACATAATAGGATCGAATTTGAGTTTGAGCCAGTTTTTGAGATAATAACAAAGGGTTTTAATTCGCGAAGGCATGCCGAGATGTTGCAAATTATAAAAATTATAAAAATATATGCAAATTAATCAATTATCAAATATTTCGTTGATTCCTTCTTTATAAACCATACGTGACATAATGATAGCCTATTTTTTTATTGCCTTAATTCATTCGAGAAGCATTCATTCACCATTACTAGCTAAGTCCGTTTCGCTGGCTCCTTACGTTGAACGAATATTCCAAATAGCGCATTGATTGTCGATAGTGATAGATGTGAATCGTCAGCATCACTCGAATTTTTCCAACAAGTTTTTCCCAATGGAGAATAGAACCTCAATTATATTTGGTTTGGTTAGTATCGCTGAGGAGCAAAATGGCTGCTTGGAACATTTCTCAATGCTATTTTTTTCATTATTCAGTGTTAATTTGTTGATAAATTCTATTGTTGAGAAATTTGATATGATACATATGACATATTTGAATTTAGAAACAACGCGAATAACAGGATTGTCGTCGTGCTCGGACAAAATGTCACCCTATTGCATTGTTTCCTCATATTCGAGCCAAAAATGCAGGCTGCACGCTTTCCGCTTATGTTTTATGACCGAGCAACTGATCTTCTTCCATAGAAATGAGAGATTGCGCATTCTAGGATGTCGTCTCTATCGCTTTTCGAGCAATTTCCTACCATCTATAGATAAAAGTAATATAATGAAAGCAAAATCGTGAAAAAAAAAATTTAATGGATCTATTTTGTATATCTGAATTTTGAATAGGATAAGTACGATATTATTTGAGTTGGACCTATTGTTTTTCTTTCTTACTAGATTAATGGCATTCATTATTTCTGGTTTGGCTCGCTTACTGATAATTTAATGAATATTTTACATTAATTCAAAATTTTCTTCCATCGTTGCAGCTGTTAATTGTTCTCAATTGATAATTTTTTAGAATAATTTAGTGAATTGTTAAATTTTATATATTTCGGTTTATTTATTGTCCGTTTATAAAATTTGGCAAGGGCCAAGGCTTAGGCCATGGCATAGTCTTAGGCTTAGATGGTTTAGATGGTGCAGAATCATCGGAATAGAGGACAATATTAATTAAAATGTTAATTTATGAATCTTTACACGATTTGCATTGAATAATTTTAATTTATTCAATAATTTTATTTAAAAAAAATCGGAAAAAACAAGGTGAATAAAAATAAAACATTTCCTTAAACTAAATTATACTGAAAAATCCCAAAAAATTTAAGGATTATTCCGATGATTGAATCATAAAAAAAAAACATTTAACGGCATATGCCACAGGTTCTTCTACATTGCTCGCTCATAACAGTAGAATATGGTGACACATTGCAAAACGGTGACATTTGCGCACAATTGGCTCGACTGTCCATGCATGATGATGACCCTCCCGCTGTTGTTGCTAAATTTCGTATTTTAACAAGTCCACTTATAGAAGAATAATCAGTACTTTAAAAGGAAAAAAGAATTAAAAAATATACATATACAAGTCGTAATATTGCATGATGTCATGCAATTTGCTTGCATGTATGGATTTGTGCATGTCAAAAGAGGTAATAACTGGGCACAATTCGTGACAACGTCTGGACAACCACCAAGCGCCCCAGGTCTGTTGCATACCCCACACGTATTAGGGCACCTTTCCAGTGCTGCCGCTGCCGTTTGCGGATTTGTGCATAAATCCGGAGAAGTAGTAAAAGGTGTGCAATCAGCGCCCGCAGCTAAAATATGAATACTTCAATACTTTAAAATGAAAAAAAATTGAGCCACATTCATTTAAAGCGCTGCATTTTTGAAATTTGGAAAACACAAAGTTTTGTACCATTGCTGCATTTAAATGCAGGTGTTAAGCAGCATACTGCGCAGGACGACGGGCATGTTTCTTCTGCTTGTGCTTTAAGCGATGCGTTCAGACAATATGGATTAACCAGGAAGGGTTTAGATCTGTAATAAGCACAGCTAATGAAAATCTAAAATCAAATCTAATATAATGCAAGCCAAAACGAAATATACTTACGGATCTGCATTATCAGCTGCATCTGCACCAAATGGGGCAAAAACAGCAGTGCAGATGGCTGTGTCCTTGTCTTTGCAAGCAGATGGAGGTGGTACAGGACGAGCAGGAGCGGTGCTAGATTTACATTCAGTAATAGGGGTACCTCCTGAGTGAACTCGTTGCAGAAGATTCAACAAAATAAACACAGACAACATCTTTCAGTAAAACTGCTTTTAGCATTCAGCAAATGCGGTATTTATTTGCTTCCTTTCAGCTCGAACGATTCTAAAAATTATCGAGAATATAGATAAGTTAGTTCAGATGTTTTTCATGCAATCGCTATTATTTTCACCTAATTTTTCTGCTTTTATTTAATAAGCAGGAAAAACAATAGGTCAAACTCAAATAATATCGTACTTATCCTATTCAAAATTCAGATGTACAATAATTCTCGCAAAAATAGATTCGGTAAATAATTTTATTTTTCACAGTTTTATGTTTAATTTTAGTTTTATTATTTTCATCACACAATTTTTTTCTGTAAATGTTGGAAACTGCTTAAAAAGCGATAGATACGGCATCGCTCATTTCTATGGAAGAAGGTCGGCTGCTCAGTCATAAAACACCCTTCCTTTGACGAGATGACACTGATAATACTGATAATCCGAAAAAAGAAAAAAAACACTGACAAATAAAGAATATTAAAGAAAAATATTTTAAATGAAATCTTAAAAAAGCAAAGTAATAGCATTCGCGCCATTGACGCCAACCAAACGTATCGAAATCTCAAACGTTAACAGACATTTAAGTGCATAAGCAGAAAGAGTGCATCCTGCATTATTGGCTCATAACGATCGAATATAGAGGGGGAACATTGTAATGGGGTGACATTTGCGCGCAATTCGTTCAACTGTCTGAGCACGACGACGATCCTTTTATTTGCTTTGTTTCTAAATTCAAATATGTCGTATCATATCAAATTTCTCAACAATAGAATTTATCAACAAATTAACACTGATTAATAAAAAAAGTAGCATTGAGAAATGTTCCAAGCAGCCATTTCTCTTGTCAGCGAAACTAACCAAACCAAATATTGAATAAATTAAAGTAATCAAAAAAATAAGTTCATTTTGTCACGTATGGTTTATAAAGAAGGAATCAACGAAAGATTTGATAAATTTGCATTTACGTTTTTTATAATTTGCAACATCTCGGCATGCCTTCGCGAATTAAAACCCTTTGCTATTATCTCAAAGACTGGCTCAAACTCAAATTCGATCCTATTATGTTTTGTGTATCAACGAATAGATGAATTATTCATATGTTCTTTGCCCAAATGGTGGAATGGTCGCACTAAACAATGACTAAAGCCGAGTATCGACTTGCTTTGCATTAAGCAGTGGGCTTTGTTCTTTGAATGGAAATTCTGCTTGTGCTAATTTCTGAATGATCCATCATTTAGTTTTTTAAAGCACTTTTGTACCACTAAAAGCATAATTGATAAATAAAGCCAATAAACTGATCGTAACTGATAAAATCAGAACTGATAATAGTTTTTAAATTTTTTGGCTTTTTCTTAATTAATACGCAAAAGCGATTAAAGAATCAATAAAAGAATAAAATGATTTGTTGATTATACAGTTTTATGATGCAACAAAATTACAAAAATAATAACTTATATGGCGATAAATAAATCGTTTAATTTTTCAAAAGATTTTTATAAAAACTCGGAAAAAATTTCCTTTTTATTTGTTAAATGGTTGATAGGAAAAAATAAAATAAAAAAATAAAGAAACTAATAATAATAAAAAATAATAATAAAAAATAAATAAAAATAAAAAAAATAGAAATAAAATAATGTAAGCGTCATTTTTGGCCGAAAAAATCATCAATTTTCTCCAGCGTTATCAGTCTGTAATAAATTAAATAATTTATTAATCCATTAAAAATTTTTTTATTATATTTACCTGGAACTTTTGTTTGTATTTTACTTTACAGGTCACGAGGCATCAAATTATCAAATTATCTTCTTATATTCAGTCATTTTATTATAAAAAGCACGGACCATTAATTGTTAAAAAGGGTCAAGCATTTCCAACTCGCTCGATCCAATGCCATATCTTTCCAAGCGTCCTTATTTTCAAATTCTCTTCTGATTCTACGAATCTTCATTAGTTCTCCATTTGCTTTTTAATGCTTTCATCGCATGGCTTATCGAATAGAGCTTCTCGGCACGTTATCCAGAAACAACTTAAAGATTAAATGCAGTTGAGACAATTATAAATTACATTTCATGAATAATATGGAATAAAAATAATTATAAAATAATTAGAAGATCGGAAATTGTATGAATTCGATAGTCAACATATTTCATTGGATAAAAAAGTAAGCCACACAACTGATAAATTACAATATATTATAGTTATTAATGAGCGATAACTATAATATATTGTCTGAGGTCTGGGCATTTTCCGCCATTGAAATTGTGTCCAAAAAGTTTAAGATGAATGTCGAAAAGTTTTGTTGCTATTGGCACAAAGAACCATTAGAACCACAGTATGATTTTTGGTCAGAATGTTTCAAGAAGGAGCAATTTGTATGGTTGAATGCTATATCTTCCAAAACTGACGATAAATCGCTATTGCTTTTCAGTTGGAAATTCTTATCGCTAAAATCGTTCGTTTCAAATTAACGATTGGCAGATGGATGTTGAAAATGTGGGAGCCATCATGTGCTTATGTGCTTCATGTGCTTACAGAATTTCCAACTGGTTGGTTCATGTTCCACGTTGTTTATCGTATCTCGCTACTTTCTAAACGGTATTATGGATGGTATCAAACGAGAAAAGTAGAGTCCAAAGAAAGGTGAGCAATGAATCAGAAAGAAACCAGGCAAAAATGGCAAGCATGATAGATGGGTGAGTTACTGTAGAAAATCGTTTTAAACGTCCGTTTTGGGAGCGAATTCTCTACTTATAATTAATAAAACCCGAGTGGCATTGGTGAATTATTTCTACCTCACTAAACAAACTAAGTCCTCGGCAAAATTCTATATCGCGTGGAGCAAACTTGATGAAACTTGAATGCTAACCAAATTTAATGAAAAATCCTATGCAAATTTTTAGAAAATTTAAAAAAAAATTTAGCAAAAGTTAATTTTAATAAAATTTATTAAATGAAAAATTATTATTATTATGCACAAGTAATAATTTGATAAAACTATTATTATTATTATACATTATTATGAAAATTATTATTATTATGCATAAGTAATAATTTAATAAAACTAGTGATAATATGGTTTATAAACATAAATTAAACATAAAATATTTAATGATATACTGGAAATGAGTGATAAAGAAATTAATTGTGGATAATTAATTTAAATTAATTCAGTGGAGAATTTCTTTTAATATTAATATTAAATATCTTTTAATATTACATATCTGAGAGAAAAACCAGGTTATAGGGAAGAAGTTTTATGACAGCTAATTTTCGTCCACAGAAATGAGCGATTTTAGGATATTTTAGGATGTCGTTTATATCGTTAAAACCAACCGATTGAGAAAAAATTGTATAGTGAAAACGAAATAATGAAAAAAAATGAATGGATCTATTTTTTGCAAAAATTAGTTGTTTATCTGAATTTTGTGAATAGGATTAGTAGATATTATTTGAGTTTGGCCAATTCTTTCTTATTTAATAAAAGCAAAAAAATTAAGTGAGAATAATAGCGATTTTATGAAAAACACCTGAAATAACTTATACACCCTCTCGGTTTTAGAATTTTTAGAATCGTTCGGGCTGAATGGTGGCAAATAAATACCGCATTTGGTAAATGCTAAAAGCAGTTTTACTGAAAAAATGTTCGCTGCGCTTTTTTTGTTATTTTTGAATCTTCTGCCACGAGTTCACTCAGGAGGTGCCGATATTACTGAATGTAAATCTAGTACCGGTCCTGCTCGTCCTGTACCACCTCCATCTGCTTGCAAAGACAAGGATACAGCCATCTGCACTGCTGTTTTTGCCCCACTCGGCGACGATTTAGCAAATAATGCAAATCCGTAAGTATATTTCGATTTGTCTTGCATTGTATTTGAATTTAAATTTTAATTAATAATTCTCATTACAGGGCTCAGCCTTTCAAAGTTAATCCATACTGTCTGAACGCATCTCTTAAAGCAAATGCTGAAGAAACATGCCCGTCGTCCTGCGCAGTATGCTGCTTAACACCTGCATTTAAATGCAACAATGGTGCTAAGTTTTTTGTATTATTTCGAGTATAGTAAGCGAAAAGGCGTGAATTTTTCTAAAATTTGAAATATTGTATGTTTTAGCCGCTGGCGCTGATTGTACACCTTTTACTACTTTGCCTGAACTCTGCACAAACCCGCAAACGGCGCCAATAGCATTAGAGAGGTGCCCTAGTACGTGTGGGTTATGCAACAGACCTGGAGCACTTGGTGGCTGTCCAGACGTTGTTACGAACTGTGCCCAGCTATTGCCCCTTTTGACATGCACAAATCCATATATGCAAGCGAATTGCATGAGATCATGCAATATTACAACTTTCATGCAATATTACAACTTGTATATGTAAATGTTTTGTTCTTTCATTCAATCGTTTTCTATTTGAGAATGGCATTTTAAATTTTCCTAAATTATTTCCCTGATATTTATGTTTATGAATTAGAAATTTTTCTCTGTGCAGTTTCATTCCATTATTTGCTGAAATATGATTTTCAAATTTAGCCACAACAACGGCCGCATCGTCATGCATGGACACTCGAGCAAATTGTGCGCAAATGTCATCGTTTTGCAATATATCACCGTATTCTACCGTTATGAGGGAACAGTGTAGAAGAACTTGTGGTATATGCCGTTAGACGTTTCTAATTTGGTCGCCAAGTTGATTTTAAAATGAGAAATTTTCGGGATTTTCCAATTGAATATCTTTGGTGCAAATGCGGCAATTCGTTAAACGAATCGAATTTTTTATTCGATCACTTTTCTTCGAATTCTATTTTGGTTTTCATATTTTTTATATTTTTCCTCATTTATCGATATTTTCTAACCTTTTTTTCGGTTTTTAATGTTCTTTTGGATAAAATTATTTAACACATTTTGTTAATACGTCTATTAACTCAGAAAATAGCAAAGAAAATAAGCGATGTCATTCTCGCTGATATCAAATTTTCAACCCAATCTGAGATAACAAATGGATCTATTTTTGCAAAAATTCCATCGCTTATCTGAATACTGTGAAAAGTGCAATATTTGAGTTTGGTCAATCCTTTCTTATTGAACAAAAGCAAAAAAATTAAGAGAATAATAACGATTATATGAAAAACACCTGGAAACAATCGAACCAGTTGATTTCTGAACTAATTTCTGAACTAAATATATTCTCGATAATTTCTAGATTCTGAACTAATTTCTGAACTAAATATATTCTCGATAATTTCTAGATTTGGCATATTTTAACAGTGAGACAAGCTAGCGAGTTTAACCAGTAATGGTGAAGATATAAAAACATATACAAATAATAATATAGGCAATGGACCTATGGAGATCTTTGGTTATTTGATCGTAAGCAATTCATGCTAATAATTTATGATTTGGAAAAGTCATCTGAATAAGTCAACTATTCCTCGAAGTAGCATTGGTCCTTTTTATTTATTATATTCATTATTAGTTTTTTAATTTAAAGATTGCTGATTCAAATCGCTCCATTGGGCAATATCCCAGGGAGTCCTTTGGCGATAGAAATACAGGATCGACAGCATCACCTGGATTTTTTGACAGATTTACTCCTGCATGGAAGAGAACCTCAGCATCGGCACTATGAACTGAGCGATAACCCACTGAACTATTTTGTCCCCCTTATAGTTTTCTAATTTTATAATAATCTAATCGTAAAAAAATTATTACTATTATTAAAATTACTACAATTATTAAAAAAGTCTGAAAATTTCTCGAATTTCATAAAATTTCAAAAATTTTATGCGAATCATTTGAATCATCTAAATACCTCATCATAGCTCCATTAAGGACAAAATTAGAAACAATCTAGCAAAACTAGCGAAAATTTACATTATCACGAGAACCGTTGAAACAAATGGTGAGCATTAACCAGCTATTAAAGCGTTCTAGATGAAATTAAAAAAATTAATTCGAAGAATATATTTATAAAGAATATATGTAAAATTTTTTGCTTTTTATCCTCACCATTACTAGTTGAACTCGGTCCACTGGCTCTTCGCAATATCCAAGGGAATTCCTTGGCGATAGAATTACAGGTGAGTCGCCAGCATTACCCGGTTTTTTGACAGGTTCACTCCTACGGGGAATCCAGGTGTACCTCAGCCGGGAAACCTCAACATCGGTGCTCTAGACTGAGCAACAATCTACTGAACAATTCTATCTCCATAAAAACAATCCGAAGAATATATTAAAATATATCTATAAGAATATATTTAAAATATATCTATGTATTTCATGTAATCGAAAGTCAACAGTTATTAGCAATAATAATAAAAAAATATTTTCTTCATGAATGGATTTTTTTTTGCATCTTAAAGATCAAAAATAAAATATTTGTTTTTACGGTTAATAATACTTCAGCATATTTGCAATGTAAACGAAAATTATCATTTTTGAGAAATATTGTTATCAATTATTATCAATAATTAAAACTGATAATACTTAGTAATTCAATTGAAAAAAAAGCTGAAAAAACTTTTAATCAA